TATGAAATATCACCCACTGAGAACCCTGTGGAGCACAGTTCTACTCTGACACACACATGGGGCACCATGATCCAGAATCCACTTGTGGCAGCTGATTGTGCAGAGGGCGATGACCACAGTCCTGTGACAAAGGCCATCACTGTGGTCAGTAGTGTCAGTGGGCCCTTGAGAATGTTGGCGGTCTGCTAAGTCTGTCACTCATGTGGCCAAATCCCAACCAAGCACACCAGTGTGTATAAATCCACATGACCTTGGGGTTCCTAGTCTCAGCTTCTGTGCGTAGAGGTAACTTTGCCTCAGAAGTAGGGGCCACACTCATCTGGGTGGGGGCAATTTCATGAGTGGGCATCACTGGCCAGGGGTAGTGATGTTGCCCACCCCATCCCTCCTCACCTCTGCCACCACCAAAGAGAAGCAGACATCCATCCACTGTTGCCATCAAGTCGGCTGTAACTCACAGCAGTCTATGTAAGGCAGAGTATCACGGTACTCCATAGGATTGTCAGTGGTTGATTTTTCACCAGAGATAGATCACCAGACCTTTCTTTCAAGGCACTCTGGATGGACTCGAACCTTTCCATTAACCTCTGAGTGTGTTGACTGTTTGCCCCACCCAGGGAGGAGGAGAAGGAGCTCTGGTAGCATAGTGGTGGTGACGAGTTGGGCTACTAACCTCAAGGTCAGCAGTTCAAAACTACCAGCTGTTCTGTGGGAGAAAGGTGAGACTTTCTGCTCCGGTAAGGATTTACAGCCTCAGGAAACCCTATCCAGGGTCACTATGAGTTGGAACCGACTCCACAGCACATAACTACCACCACCACCAGGGGTGAGGAGAACACAGTTCCTCTACCTCCATAATCAAACGTCCCAGCCAATTCTATGGCACACGGAGGAACAAGGTTGTCCTGATTTGTGACTATATCTGCATGATGACTTCTTGGGTTGTAAAAAATGAAATCAGGTTTGATTCAGCATTTCGTGAGTCATCTTTATGGTTGAAGTAAAATGTCACGAAATCGTAATTGTCCTGGAGAATCTGTAATACAGAGCTGTAGTCATTATGCTTGGTAATATGGGACAATTTGTCACTGTCATGGGTGAGCAATGGACCTGTGCCAGTTGACTCTCTGAAGATGAACTGAAACACCATTTCTGAGCTCAGAAAGTCATTGTTAACTCGGGTTGTGATTAGGAGAGATGGGTGGTTTGCTGGAAGGGACAGTTTATCAACGCTCAGATCCCTCCCTCCACCCCTTGTGTAAGCAATACTTCAGCCAAGTTGTTGAGCTGGAAATTCATTTTACACTAATTTGTTCTCAGCTCATGCTTTAATGAGCTTATATTTCTGGGTATTTAATTTGAAAGTCCATTTGATAAATCTGCTATTAAAAAATACATCGAGATGGAGAATAAATGAGTTTGAGACTTTAGAGGTCAGATTATCAGCACCATTTGATTTCTGATGTTTTTATTTGCGGGATCTTGGTGTCTACGGCAGCATGG